TTTCACGAGACAGTAGGGGTATTAGTTGCCTGAAAGTCTATATTTAAGTATTAGAGGCTGCTAAGCTTTATTTAATAGAATGAGTATTAGTCTTTCTATACGGGTTTCTCCAGAGAGCTTTTTGTACCATTTTGGAGACATTCATATTGATACTCGATTTTTTGTTTTGTTTATTATTAGTATCACTTTTTTTTTAATGTGATTTTCCCCCTCCCTTTTTAATGTGCTTGTTTCTCATACTATACAGGAGGGAGAGTTTGTTAGCATCTCTGTAAAGAAATTGAGGAAAAGACAGATGCGAAACTTCTTTGTCTGCCTCATGGTTTCCCAAGTAAGATTCACTGATATAATATATAATATGTTAATTCTTTAGGTTGATTAAACTATAACGACCCAACTTCTTAAACTTGATTTTTGAGGGTTGCTACTACATGCATGTAAAATATGAACTTTTGAAAGGTAAAGCGGAAGTTTAGGCAAGCCAAATTAAAAGATTTCATAGAAACCTTGAGTTCCAGATCTCGTCAGAACATTTATTTTAATAACTCAATGAATAAAGAACTTTTAAATAACTAAAAATCAAGGAATAAAATAGTAGAGCACAAAACATGTAGGGGTAATTCTAAAATCCCAGGACCTTTAGTTCGACAATGTCTCCACAGCCTTGTCAAATTGAATGCCCTTACCATACGCCTCGTAAGTCATGTACCATCTGGAATGAAAATAAAGGTAGCATGGGTAAGTATAAAAATACTAGTAAATAGCCCCACTTTGAGGGTTTCAAGCTATGTTCGTACTTAAAACTCACGATATTGAGAACATGCAGGATCTTGACTAGTTATACATGAATGTATCTTGATACCAATGAGACATTAACTGAAATCATGGAATCATCATGTCTAACTGGTTTGCACTAACATGTTTTGATGCACAAGGGTCTTAACTGAAAATATGGAAAGAGTCTGTCTAGGTGAGCAATTAACCAATCCCTAAACTGAATCAACTAGGGTGCCTATGTGGGTGAGAGAGATTAGTTGGCGACCCCTAGTGCTTGAGACTTAATTCGATCTTCATAGATTTCTCGAGATATTTTTTTACGAAGTTTTGTTATTGCATCTATAACAGCCTCGAGTTTAGGTGGACAACCTGGCAAGTACACATCGACAGGGATTAACTTATCGACTCCCCGAACAGTACTATAAGAATTGGTACTAAACATCCTTCCTGTAGTTGTACATGCTCCCATAGCAATAACATATTTTGGTCTATCTCCACACAGTATCTCAAGAGAAACATTCTGACTGAACATGAAGAGGAGTCACCCCAAAGTTGAACCAACTATGTCTATGATGGCCTGTCTTGCGTCACTAGAGTTAGCTAGTAACTCCTTAGTGGTACTAGGTCTATCTGAACACAGTATCGCATGAAAAACGTTATGGCTGAACATGAAGGGGCGTGACCCCAAAGTTGAACCAACACGGGTGCCTATATGGGTCAATTCTGTAAGGTGGAGTGTCACTAGAGGTTAGTTGGCTATCCTGTAGCACAACCAAGCCCCATCCCAACATAGTACTAAATGTAAAACATACACAATAAGCATATACCTAACTTGCAGGGAAAGACAATTCTCACCAGCATTCACATTCAGAACCATTGACAGAAAGAACATGAGAATTTGGATATCTGAAGGTGGGTATCCAAAGATTCCCACAAAATGAACAGCACCTAATACGATTTGATAAATTGACATCACTACCATGCATTTTAATTTGCGACCGAAATAAAAATGTTGGTTGTGTGTGCTCCAATAATAAAAAATAGTAATTCAATTCTGAACAAGATTATTCTCCCTCGATGTATTTTAACTCTAAATCCTGGTTTACTTGTGTGGGTGACTGCAAACATCTCTGAGAGCACATTCTTATAATACGGTATGATTACATATACATAGCATGTATACACAGACCTCATTATAGTATATTTCTCCAGTTGCAACATTTATTTGATCATAGTTTCTCTCCACTATAATAAGAAGTCTAAAAACATGAGTAATAGAACATCCCTCTCCAATTTGTCGATTTAATTCTTGCAAAATTAGTGTTTAAGCTTTGTTCCAACTGTTTTTATCTGACCAGGGCGTCCCAATGATATATATGGGGGATGAATATGGCCACACAAAGGGGGGGAACAACAACACGTATTGCCATGATAACTATGTAGGTCCTTGCTCGCTATTTTCTGACCTTTATTGTTGAGCTGAAATTCAATTATGTTGATCAGAGCTGCTAACTTTGCTGCAGATCAATTATTTCCGCTGGGATAAGATGGAAGAGTCATCCTCTGACTTCCATAGGTTTTGCAGACTTATGACCACATTCCGCTAGTATGTGCTTCCTTTTCTGAATTGATTTCTTTCGTGTAGTACGGTGTTGTGAATTACTTTTTCTGTATGACCTTGCAGCGAATGCGAGTCACTGGGCTTAAATGATTTCCCCACAGCTCAGAGACTACAATGGCATGGCCATTCTCCTGGAAACCCTGACTGGTCTGAAGCAAGCCGTTTTGTCGCCTTCACTCTGGTATGTTTCCTTTTCCAAATAGTACTTGCTCATGCAAACCATCCATTCTTCTCTTTTCCAATCTGGCATGTTGCAAGGTTATTTATATCCAAATTAGACGATTAAACTCTAAATTTAAAGTTGTGTCTAATAGGTTTGAAATTTCAAATTTGTATTAAATAGGTCCCTTAACTTTATACAGGGTAATAGATCACTAAACTTTTAATTTTGTGTTTGATAGGTTTCTAAACGAGGATGTCTAATAAGTTCTTATTACCCTAAACTTTCAATTTTGTGTTGGATAGGTTTATAAACTTTAGAGGATGTCTAATAAGTTCTTAAGCTTTCAAGTTTGAGTCTAATAATTATTTAGTTACTCAATATTTTCTTAAAATTGATAAATCTATTGAACACAAATAAAAAGTTGGTCCCTACTAAACGCATGATTCAATTTATGTTCAGTAGACCTGTTAGTTTTAAAAAATGTTGAATATGTCAAACACTTATTAGACTCAAAATTGATAGTTCAAGAATCTATTAGATACTTCTTAATCTTAAATTTGTTTCATCCAATCTAGGTCTTTTGTATCCACTCTTGATGCCTTAACATATAACTTATTGCTTTTCAACTTGTTGGGATCATATCAGTCATACACTCAAGTAGATTCTGATATTGAGATAATTTGTTCCCAGGTCGATTCAGTGAAACGAGAAATTTACATCGCCTTCAATGCTAGTCATTTACCTGTCACCGTGACATTGCCCGAGAGACCCGGATATCAATGGGAACCATTGGTGGACACAGGTAAGATTTCGCCATTTGACTTCCTCACAAGCGACCTTGAAGAAAGAGATGTGGCAATTCAACAGTACGCTCACTTCCTCGACGCAAATCTTTACCCCATGCTTAGTTATTCTTCCATCATTCTTCTCCTCTCTCCAGAAAAACATGCATCAACCTGATAATCTTCAAATCACATGTCCCTTCAATAATTCTTCCTCTGATATATGTGCATGTGAATATTTTACATATACATACACAGCAGGATAGATGGATGCCTGTGATATTCATTTCCTCACATGACCTTCATCTTTGAATAAAAACATGGTTGGAACTTGGAACTCAGTAAAAACTTACAAAGCTACCAATGATCATAAATTTGAGTAATTTTGGACAAATCATTATTATTATCGTTTGTAGGTTCAGACTTCAGTCAGGGCTGTTGTCGGCTACACAGGGCTTTTTTTTTCTTCTTTTTTTTCTTTTTTTTTTCTGCACATTTATTGGAAGGGGAAAAAGTTCTCTAGAAAAGAATTCTTAATTTAAGGCGATTGGCTTACCCTTTTAATTTAGTTGTATATTTTAAAAAGTAGTACTAAATATATATATATAGACAACCAGCTACTAGTTATATACTAGTTATATACTATGAGCCGCGTTACTCTCTTGCTTGCATATATAACACTTTCAAAATTTCTCTTTCAAAAATCTCTCTCTGCCCGCCCTTGTTTTATAATACTTCCGCCCTTGTACGGCTCGAGGAAATTCAAAGTCATGTATAGAATTCTAATTAATGTCAAATGGATTCATAGATTATGAAATCAATTAGACTATGATTTAAATACTTTGTTTCTGATTCTTTTGTTTATTTTTTATTCTTTTTTGAAAAAAAAAAACTCATTCTTATCCTCATAACTCAAGTTGTATAACTCTCACTCAAAGGAAAACAACCCTTAAGCTTAAGCATTTCATTTATTGAGCGGTCTCTAACCCCTTAAATTTTGTCTGTCTCCTTTAGAATCTATTTCAATTCTTCATTCTGATCTAGTTTAGTTATTGAGACAATTGAAAAAGATTTTTACTTGTTGAGGAGATCCTTTATCCTTGCCTTTAATCATTGGGTTTAGACATTACTTCGGTGATCTTTAATCGTTTCAAAATGGCAGCAACATACCATTTTTTCTGATTTATTTTTATCAAAGAATCATATAAATATATAAATTAAGGCTAGAGTCTTGAACGAATTTATATTATTAAAACGTATTGGTGATACAGGCAAATTATTCTTAAATTAGAAATAAAATATTCTTGTGCTATTAAAGTAGAAAAACTATTAAAATATTAGATAAAAAGTTTGAAGGAATATTTAAATTATTTTTCTCATACTAAATCTTTGCAGCAATGATTAATGTGACATACGAATTTTATGAAACTATAGAAATTATTAATAAGATTTTAGATAAAATTTTAATTTTAAAACAAAAAAAATTAAATTTAAATGACTAAATTTGTAATTTAATATTTTTTAAAAAAATGGAGAGTTTTTAATATTTTTTTTTAAATTTAGCGAAATGTAAAAAAACAAACAATTATTATTATTATTATTATTATAATATAAAATGCGAATTGGGGGTTCATCTTCTCCGACAGTGGGGCCTTCCAGAGGTCTCTAGAGATTGCCAGAAAACAGAAGCCCTTTCTCCTCTCTCTTAGCGTGGCTTCTTCTTCAACAATTCTCTCTGTATTTCCTTCTCTTCTTTATAAAAACCCTTCCGATTCGTATACTCTTCAGTGAAGTTCGTGGGAAGGGAATCAGATTTTTAAGCGCGGGTTCTGTTTTCTGAGGTGGGAAAAGGAAGTTCCGTGGAGGATTTACAATTGAAATTTGGGAGAGGAGTTTTTTTTTTTGTTCTTTGATCGGAGATGAAGATGAAGAGGAAAGATCTCGATCAATTTAACGATGAGTTCTCGGATTTCTCCCTCTCGTCGCCTGCCTGGAAGATTCGCCGTCTGGTACTTCTTCTTACTTTTTGCTTTCGTGTTGTTGTTTCTTTCAATGGAGTTTGTGAAGCTTTGTTCTGAGAAATTTTCTTCGATTTTCCAGGATGTTGGTTTACCGCCTATTATAGAAGAAGAGCCGCCGGAAATTTCTGGTTTAAACGAAGAACGAATGATGCCTGTAAATTATGTAGCAGGAGGGAACGGTCTGAGGATTGAGGAATTGCCGGACGCTTCTTCTGTTGCTGCTGCTTCAGCTTGTGCTATGGAAGATCGCCCTCTCTGCGATAACCAAGAGAGGGCTATTGTTCTGTTTAAGCCTGTTAACACGTCGTTCTTGCAGTCTTCTCCTCTTTCAGTCTCTGTTGATTCCGACATTATATCTGGCTTCAAGAGTAAGTACCGATTTCAACATAGTTTCTCCGGATTTTTCTCACTTCCGTTTCGATCTTTGAATTCTACATTTAAACTACTTAGATATTGGATTGAGGAATGAATAACTGCTGAAAACGAAGAAAAGATCTAGGGTTTACCCATTGTTGCTGAGAAACACTAATCGTTTAGTTCCTGTTGTTGGTATCTCAAAATGGATTGTTTAGATTGATTCTGATCTCTATGTAACTGACAATTATCAGGCGATATTCTTCGTGAAAACCGTTATGATGGGCGGCTGAAATTTGGTGAGGACGACGACGAAATGGGGACGGAGAACAAAAATCTTGCTGTTGTTCCTTGGGTTCCGCGGCTGCAGGTTCCTGCTTCCACGAACATGCTTGTCCAACAAGAGGAGGCTCCTCAGTTAATGGAAGCTGAAGAAGTTGGAGAAGCGACAATGGACATTGAAGATGACAACTTAAGCAGTCAACAACACCCTTATGGCTATGGAGGAATGGATGGAGCTAATGCCATTCATCAATGGCACCAACAGCACTGCATGATTCCGCAGCTGCCACAACAAACGTCCTCGCCCATAACATGGTTTCGATGATGGTATGGTATATACATAGGGAAAAATTACGATCTTTTGATCTCATGGGGTGCTAGATAGTAGGATAATTTGCAGCAAATTTGACCTGAAGAACATATGGGTATAAATATAATGCCCTTGCTCTATTGTTCATCACCTTGTGGCAGCTTTTTCTTGGGAAGTGATGATGCTTTTGCACGCATACGAGGAGTTGCCTTGTTGAGAATTATGAGCTCGTGTACAAATTTTTTCCCCACCTTCAGAACTTCTTGACTGGAATCTGATGAATTAGAGTTATTCTACTTGATCTATGAGTATGGTATCCAAATTTTGATGAGATCACGATGGATAATTTTAATTTTGTGCCGGTTGAAGTAATTGAACTTCAATAATAATTCACATTTTTTTTTAATTTATGAGACCAAAATTGAGAGTTGAAGATGCTATTAGGCACCAAAATGAGATCAATCGAGCTTTGACACAGCTATTTTTCAAACGATAAATATCGAGATTACCTGTGTCTATTATTTATGCAGAATATCGTCATCTATTTTTATTAAGAAACTAAAAGAAACGGAGGGGACTAAACAGAAACAAGAGGAATCTACCGAAGAAGATATTTATTCCCTTTTTCGAAAGAAAAGGAGGATCGGGACAAAATCGATGAAACGGAAGAGATCCGAGTGGAAATCTACCGTAGAAGATACTTATTCCCTTCTTTCGGAAGAAAAGGAAGATCTGGACAAAATCCCGAAAGAGATCCAAGTGAAAGGAAAGGAAAAAAACGGATGAATTCCACTTTAAAAGGAAAGACCAGTGTTTAAACTTTTTACCCGCTCTCCCTCCGGATGGTATAACAAGGAATCTCCCCCCGGATGGTATAACAAGGAATAGAAAAATAATATGAATCAGAAGTACAGGAGCTGGGGGAAATGAATACTAATTCCATAGCAATCAAATAATATAATAAATATTGCTTTTACTGCTTTCTTTCATAACAATACAACCAACACCTAAATTATCTGAAAAAATAAAAGAAACGAAAAAAACAATGCCAATAAAGGCACAAGATGGTACCTATACGATTTGGACGTTTACACGCATAATAGCAAATTGATTGTGTAGTTGAGAGTTTTGGTGTCCCAATTTTCATCTATTCTAGCTGCAGCTTATAGCGCCTACAATGAAATTACAAAGTTAACTGCCATGTCAAATTCTTAAGGATGCAACTCCTTCCATGTTCTAAACCTATCTTCATGGGAAAAATCTGTACTGAAGATCTTCAGAAACAAGAGCTACAACAACCCAACCACGTTCCTAAGGCCGAATAGTAAATTGTAAACCAAAACCATTTATTCCCCACATATGTATTTCTTCTCTGCATAGTATTTCTTCTCGCTTTCCACTTTCTTGGCATTTCGTTTCTGCATATTATAAATACACAAGAAATGAAAAGTCCAACAAATTCATTAGATTAAGTATTTGTCAGAGTATAACGTCTACAAGGCAGAAACAGGAATTCCCAAGTATCTGGTTAATATAAAGGCGTTGTCAATTTAACTTCTAAAATTATTCTTTAATGACGAGGTCTTTAGAGGATTTGAGAGGTCTTCGGTTGATGTTTGGACCTTTATTAAGTACAACATCACTTTGTGGGCTTAAGTGGCAAAGTTCTTTTGTTATTATTTGGATTCTTTCACTTCTTCTGAATGAAAGTTTGGTAATTCAGTTTTGAAAATATATAGATATAGTCTAAATTGATAGCTAATAACATATTCAAATTTCTATAAAAATACAAAGCAGATTACTTTTCTGGAGTTTAGGCTCAAGAAATAAGAGCATAGAGTGAGTACCTTAAAAGCATCGTGATTGGCAACTATCCTTTTGGCTATTGAAGTAGTGGTAATGTTTTTAGGGCTTTCAAGCAACTTGAAAATTCCAATACTCTTTGGAACGGCATATGGATCACTGTCGCCCTGAAACAGACGAGCTCATCTTGTCACGGCTTTGTAAATAAGAAAGTTATGAAGAGACTAAATTTAAAATTTGAAAAAAAAAAAAAAAAAATCTCATCTACAGTGAAATAGCTAAACTTACAGCAAAAGAGTTGTTTTCAGCAACAGTCCCATGCACAACTAAAGATATATTGAAAGTAGTTATCTGCCAGAAAAAGAATGCTTCAGTAATTAGAACCTCACAGTTGATGCTAAAGAGAGTGACTCTCATAAGCAATCATTGGATGCCGACATAGAGTCTAAATTCTATCCATTTCCTTGCTTCTCCCCCATGCAGGGAAAAAGGGGCTTCCAACAAGCAATGTGGATGAATGGGTATAATGTTTAAAGAAAAACCAAAACTGGAGCACACAACTTACCATGTCTTTTGTAATTTCCCAAGGTGCACCGATGATCACCTCATCGACGTACCGGCAACCCAGCACACTGAGACTACGTTCGTGTAAATGCATAATTGGAAATTGCTTCCCTCTGAGTTTACTGCAGGAGATAATGAGATATTAACTTCTACTTTGCCAGTTCATTAAAATTTAAGGGAAAAGTCCATAGCCATAGTCTCAGGAAAGGTATTCAAAACTTCCGGAAGAGAGAAACAAGCCAAAAAGTTGATTGAAAAAGTACAAACAAGTCAAATATTGAGAAGGAAAAGAAAACAAGATACCTCACAGTCTGATCATTATGTATGCCAACTAGTAAAAAGTCTCCAAGCTGCCTAGCACTCTTGAAAATCTGAAAAGAAGGAGGATGATGCGATCACAAAATGGGGTTATTCCTGAGAAATTTTTCAGTTATTATTAAGTAGCCTGTAAAGCACAAATCAAATTCATACATAAATGAATTGAAATAATGGAAAAGAATGCAGAGAATACTTAATTGCCACTGTTCACTTCAAAAGAAAGAAAATGTTTCAAATGTATTAGCTCATGGTCAATAACATTCCCATCCAAGCTCATAATTAAATCTGTAGCTGCCAAATGACTCACACTTAGCGAGTTGGATCTTACCCAAACTAATCCTGCCTTCAAAAAATGAAACTAAGAAAATGATTTCAAAATATTAAGATATACTCCTGCTGTCTTTTAACCATTGTCAGACATGCACTATGTGTAACACAGCTACTAGCACTACTTCCCTCTGCAATGTTTAGGTGTTCATCGTGAAGGCTTGCTTTTCCCAACAAAGGAAGTGACCTCTTTGAATCATAAGGTCTAAGAATCCTAGTCAAGCTTTTAACGCTTATGCACAGTTTTGGAATCAGCATCCTAGAGACATAATCTTCCCCAGCTAAAATCTATTGTTTTAAACGAAGGAGTATTGAAAAAATTCAAAGCAAAGAATTGTTATACACACAGACACATGTAAGCATAAAATATCAAAAACCAAACCAATGTTAAGTTTCACATAAAAGCAATCTGGAGTGATGGATGAATAGAGAAGAGATTGTAAAAACTGTGAAGCGTCATACCTCAATATGTCCTGCATGAAAAAGATCAAAAGCCCCATCAATGTACACAATACGAGCATTTTGTCCAGGCCCCTAAAAATGGATATGATAATTTGTTAGCATTAATGGATTGGCCGCAAAACAGAATTTACTACAAAGCGGAGGCTAAGCTAGAAAAACTTAAAGAGGGGAAGAATATCATGTTTGCTCGTGGGACATGGACATAGATTAATACAGAGGCCAGATACAAACAGAATCTAGAAGAATGAATTCCTAGAGGGATGAAAGGAACAAATTTCCAAAGACATTTTATGTCATCCTGTATAATACAGAGGCCAAAGACAATTTCTACCAAGGAATTGCCCTTTCATGTTATCCAGTCAAGTTCTTGATAGATGAATAGATGTAAGATAAAAAAATAAATTTCCAACTAGAAATTTCATGTAACTAAGAAATATTAGAATAGACCCACCGCATGCAAACTAAACGATAGAATCTACTATATTTCAGAAGATTATCAGAAATGCAGCTTAAGTGACATTTAAAGAGTCCCTATCTCTTCCTAACAGCCAGACTATCCCAATCCAGGCAAAAGCATAAGTTCTCCCTTCACAAAAGAATTCTAGATTCCCACCCGCATCAGTTACCAACTCATTTAAGGGCTCACCATTACAACACGCTACATGCACAATATATTAGTTTCTCCCTACTCACATGTTTCCTCCTAACAATTCTTTTAATAAGAAACGGAAATCATTTCATAGACAAAAGTGAGACAACCAACCTAACTAACTGGGTCTATCATCTAACCCTCAAAACTAAATATAATATCAATATTTCATTAGATGCATCGGTTACAGATTGTGTTGTTCCATTTTTTGTCACAACAAACACTGTATGGACAAGATAGGTGAATTAGTATCTATTGAAAAACAATCCTCCTGTATAAGGCTTCAAGAATTTTTTGGTCACTAGAGAACCATACCCTTCCATTTGAAAACTGTACAATACGTTGTGATGTTGGTAGAAAATGAGAAAGGGCACCATGGGACGGACTTCCTTTTTTAGAATCTCCATTCATGGATGTTGCATTGTGATCTTCTGAATCCATAGCATCATTAATGGAAGAGAGTATTCTTCCTACATCAAGAAATCAATGCAAGGTTAAAAGGCAATACAAGAAAATGCAAAACAAAGTTATGTTTCTCGTGACAGTGACCAAAATATGTAGCAAGGAGATGAATGGGGAAAGCAAGAGAAGAGAGGATGACAAAGTGGCACCAACCAAAAACTGCTTGGAGAAAATTGAAAGACAGTACCTACGATATCGGTGCTGGAGACTCCTTCAGTACGCTTGATCTGCTTGAACCGTCCAGCTTTCTTAGCTAAGGCATATGCATCAGTCCCATCTGGAAGTAGGCATGGATCATCTCCGTGAATAATATAGTCAATCTTATGCTCATTAAAGAGTCTGTTCATGAATTGCTCAGTAATTGCATATGGGGCGTTGGAAATAACTTCATCCACCCACTTCAAACCACTAACGAGAGCCAGCCTAAAAGGAGCCTTCGGTTAGAAGAAGCTGAATAAATTATTGAGGTAAAATTTTAGTTCTGTAAACATTCTAAATTTTGTGACTTCAGGTGTGTGGGTTATGAAAAGTTAAAAATAATTCCAACAACAAAAAGTATAAATAAAATAGAATGTATAAATATCTAAGAAGATTAAGGCAACCTACAATCTATAAGGAGTGAAGATGGGTAGAACATAAATAAGATTTCAGCGGATACCTTTCTTCCATTGGTAACACTGGTGGACCCTTATTCACTATGATTTCTTCATCACTTACAACACCCACCACCAACTCATCTCCCAAAG